GTGTAAGTCGAATTTTCACTGGCAAAGCAATGCATTTCTATGGTTTGATTTCCAAACTCGTGGTTTTACTTAATCAAGGGGGAAATGCATCGTAGCAATGTTCAGCTGTTTTACATGTAAGACTTAAAGCGAAAAACAACTTACCACGCGAGGTTTATTTATTAGCGCGCTGTCTCATGTTAAACTGATCACGGAGACACGCGTTTATATATGCCACAAAAACATGAAATCTATGGGATTTTTTTACAGTTTTTTGAAAGTTTTTGCGGAAAATTTTATAAAAAGTATTCTACAAGAAATGAACTTAGAATGGATTTAGTGTGAGACAGCAACAATTATGAGTGATTATGTACTACATAAGCACTTGAGCATTTCATAAGCTCAGTTGCAGACAAAACGAATGCACATACCCCACAAAAACGAACAATACTTTTATTTTTCTTTAACTCTAAAAGATACAGAGATTGTTCCCAAGCTACAGTATTTTGAAGAGACTCTTGAGTAACAGCTCCTGTGTTCCACAATCGATTTCTTGTTTTTATAGTTCAGTGCGTGTATTTTATTTCTCAACGAAGACGTACCGGTGAAAAAAGCTAAAATTACTACAGAAGGCGATTTTTCACAGCCTTCGTCAAAGCGCCATTTATTCGCGGAAGTATTCTTAGTTCCATTAATCATTAACTTAATTTGGGGAGAAAGGCAAGATTTCGAGATAAACAAGCCAGCGAAAGGGTGAAAAACAGTTTCACGGCAGAATGGACACTTAATTAACCACTGTATTCCTGAAACGATTAAGTTCGATTTTAGAGTTACACTTTTGAGAAGAATTAAGTGTCTGTAGGATAATTGTTTAACGAAAAATTAGCATACTGACCTTTTCCTCCTGCTCAAAAAATGTGCACGAAATGTTAGGTCGTAAGAACATTCAGCCGCCATCTCGTCTTCGAGGCACTGTTTTACGAAAGGAAAGACTGTCCTCTCAAGGGCGACAGCGAGGCTACAATAAACTCACTTTTATCGTAGAAATACCTCGATACCTTAAAGAACGTGTCTGTGGAACGTAGCACCCAATACACGTCATTCAGCTCCAGAAAACAGCCTGCAATTGCTGGTACTGAACGTAAACAATTCACATAAAATGCCTCTGTGGCACCTCAACAGCCCATATTGACGGATGCGCATACAAAATGCCCTCCTGTTTTCTTGTCCAAATGTCAGGAGTGTTGGGCACCCACAAGGAGCTTCATTTTAACCTGCATGGAATGTCCTCTGTAATTGGGGTGCTTGGCTCAGCGCTGAGTTTCTGGCTGTACATTATGGGGATTCCATACTACAAGGCAGAGATGAAAAGGGTGTTGTTCCGACAAAGGTTGGAAAAGAAAGAATAACAAGATAAAGTTAGCGTTAGATCCCATCGGGCTGAACCCCCTTGAACACCTTATGAAGTTTACACAGCGTAGTTTAGTAGTACCATTGTCTCCTTTACTACTGGTAACGACCACTAACAAAAGTGATTAGGGTTAGGCGGGCACTGACCATACTGATCAGGGTTAAGCCCTGAGAATAGTGATTAGTGGTTGAGTACCGACTCGAAACGCTTTGCTTCTATTTGGTGTTAGGGCAACCTTGTCCCCAGGGCTTTTCACTCAAAAAATTTCCCACCCCACCCATTTTTTGAGGGAAAAGCCCTGGCGACGAGGTTGGTGTTAGAGTTGTTTTTATATACCTACAAATCAAACCTATTCTTAGTAGCAAATCCTCAGTGGCGTGGTGATATAGGAGATGGACAGCAGACACTACGCTCTGAGTTCCATTCTTTTCAATCTACACTCGAAATTACACTTTCACACCTGACTTTCATGAACATTTGCTGATCAGAAATTTCAAGAGACGTTTAAGAGATAAAGTCTTCAAATAGCCCCATAATGCATAGAGATTCGACACAAAAACCGACCCAGGCGCAAGCTTAATCTCAAAGCACAGGTACCCCAAGCTCACGAGTTGTTGCGCAACAGAAATATTTTAAGAGTTTGTATGGCATAGGGTATTTAGCGATCCTTATAAAGGGCACTAAAATAGAAATAAAAACTCATGAAAACTTCTTATCTCGCCTCCTTGTCTTATTCATGGTATATGCACTTAGTATTTCAGGCCTTTTCAGCGCGATTCTAGCGAGTTTTGGTTTTACTCGTGTGCCCTCTCTCAAAACCCTCATTCTGTTACGCAACACTCGTGAACTTGGGGGATCTGTGCTCAAAGTGGCAAAATCAGTGCACTCCGTGACGGCTGTCCGATCGGTCATCAGGTAAAAGAGCCCGTACTACACAGAGATGTTTGCTGAGATTTTCCGTATCTGTGATTTTAAGCCGCGCTTGTAAATTAGTGGCGATTTCATGGTGATTTGTGGCCGCGTTTGTTTCGAGCCTTATCGACTTCAATGAGGGCGATTACTGATGTCTAAGATACAGAGCCCAAGCGCGAGCGCGTGCATCGGAACTATATAATCGTTATGAAATTGCGCCTTTACTCGTCGCTAACTTGAAAGAGCGCTACCTCGAAGCAACAGTTAAATGTATTCATGTTTCTTTTACGTAGTAAATTCTGAAATAAACGATCGGGAAGAAAAAGAGAAGGAACATGGATCTTCAAAACTAACTAGTCTTACGATATTATGCTCTCCAGTATCGGCTTGTAACAAAACAAAGAAGGAAAGATAACGCGTACTACTTTACATGTGTGATAATAAAGGCGACGCCCTCAAATTTTCTGGTATATAAGATCATGAAACCAAGTTTCGCAAGTCTAATAGCCTGCGATCAGGTGCTTTATAGGAATAGTAGGGAGAGGGCATGATCTTGCTGGGTCACAGGTCCGTAACAGTATCACCGCAATGGATTTTGTTGCAGTTTTGGCTCTATTATTAAAGGTACGGTAAAACTTGCAACAAAATCGTGCAACTTTTTTTTAACATTGCTGCAAAACGAGTTGAGAAGCGATCGATGTTGCGTGTTTTACTAGCCACGTACATACATGCCTTGCGGCGAAACAGGTTGTTGGCAAGTTGCGAAAGTTTGCTGCTGTGTATGTTGCGCGTTTTACCGGCCCAAGGCAAACCTGTTTTATCTCAGTAGGTAACATAACTCCCATGTATGGCCTTACTCCCGCATAATTTTATCCAATCAGAAGTCAGAATTTGCAACTTCCAACAACCTGATTTGTTGCAAGACAAGTTTGACTCGTGGGTGGTAAAACGCGCAACAACGCTATTCAACTCGTTTAACAGCAATGTTGCAAAAGAAGATGCAGGTTTTTGTTGCCAGCAGTCACCGTAACTTAACTTTACCATTTGTTTTTGTTTAGTAGGAACCGATAACGTTCCTTTGAAGAGAACGTTCTTGGAATCTAGACTGGAAGCGTTGTAAAAGAGAATTTTATTGTTATTCAATATAATTTGAAGAACACTTTTAGCTTATTAATATATTGCATTCTTTTATTAGTTTTGTCATGTGATGCATGGGGATTGTGAGAAGATATATCGTGTATTCCGTATAAACCCACTTAATTATTATGTATGTTATTTAATTATCTTTAGTTCTAACATTTATCTAGTTAACGTGAAATGAATGAATGAATAAATAAATGAAGTATTTATGAAAAAAATTAATTGAATCAATGAAGAAGTCTCTTCTGATCTCATAAAATTTTTTTCGCATTCTACAATGCTACAAAAAATTAAAGGGAAGGCTGTCAAACATCTCTGTGTTGGCTTCCTGTTATTGAGCGTAGAAGGATCCCGGGAAAATGAGGGAAGTGACTCCCATACGGATACGGAGATAATCGTCGGAAATTTAGAATTGGCCGTTTTCACAATAGAGACGGATTTGAGACGGATAATCCGTCTTCAAATGAATCCGCTTATATATGCATCCGCCATGATTGCAACGTATCAACGTATATATCGACTTCAATACCGTGCAGCAGGTGGGAAGACCCGCTGCAAACGTTAACAAGTATCTAAGGCACTGAAGGCACACTGTATATTTGCGTGGCTCTCGATCTCCATTACAAAGAATGTCTGCCAAGGGTATTTTAAGGGTGACCTTAGTTCATTTTGTTATGATTTAAGGCGGGCCGAAAATGCACATCTGAAAATGTCATTCATTACATAACCTGTAAACTTTTCTAGTTTTGTGTTTATGTACAAGATTTCTACCTGGGTGGTTTGTGTAATAAATAGCAAGCAGTACAGATTCTACTGTATAACCTGTCGAGTAAGTAAGTGACGGCTATTGATGTTGTAATTATAAGTTATGTGGAGAACGTCGATATACCAGCTGGTATAAGATTCCAAATTAACTAGCTTGCGTAAATCTTAAAGTCGGATGGAACAGAAACAACTGGCGTTTCAGCCCGGTGAAACTCTTTACTTTAAAGTCAGGCCTTAGTAATTACGTCTGACTTAAGGTTTTTCTTTAAAAATTTTAACCTTTTTGAGAAACAAGGTCTTTATGATCAAAAAGGAACATGAAGAAGAAGAAGAAGAAGAAGAAGAAGATCTTTGTTGAGCATGCGCTGAATTAAGCTACGGGTATAGTTTCGAACCCAGGCCTAACAGCCGTGTGCTTGCTACAGCGGGTTCGGTTATGAAACATAGGTTTATCAATAAACGGATGCTCGCACTCGGAAAAAGGGCTAACAGTTGAATTTTATGGCTTTAAAAAGGACAAGGAAAACGTTCTATTCTGTGATTGATTCATATTTAAAAGACAGTACATTTACAGCAGTTAAAAGGGATGCAACAGTTCTAAACAAGTTATGTGCAAGGGGTACCATTTGTCAATAGAAGGTATGCGAAAGGGGTACCTTTTTCGTGAAAACTGGTATATAAAAGGGTAAGGGGTTGGATCTCGGGGCGGAACCTCCCCGTATAAACATTTGTTGAGTACAAGCCCCCTCCGCGCAGGGTGTTGTTTCTCATATATAACGAAATTGTTTACTGATTAACGTTCCTTCTCTGCAAATCCGAGTAGAACTGAATGCACCAAGTACGCAAGTAACCTTGAAGACCAATCTACGGAAATCTTCTTTGATCCAACATGTAATTCAGGGGTAACCTTCAGATATCTCTTTTCAGCTTGCACTAGTTTAAAGCCACCTTTTTGTATGAAGGGCAGAGTTTCATGATCACAGCGACAGCCATTAAACAAAGTGGGCCAGAGGTGTGACTTTGAAACAAGCTGCTGTAGGATATACCTCAAACTCCAGGGCTTTCCTGATAAAAGGAAACAAACATAACATCACAGAATAATTTCTTTTAGAGAACAATGCTTATTAATAACCCTTTTTAAGGTAATTCCCTTTCTTGCACTGCGCATCAACTACTTTGCATATCACTGCAACATCAAAGGTAGTGGTCATTTTCACCAGTCGCCTGAAAAGAGTTTAAAAAAGGCCTCCTATGTATTCCAAATCATGTTTTAAAATAGTGATTCTGATAACTCCTCCCCAGTTAAAATGGAGTGGGGCTTAAGACTCGCCCTATTCCCTACACGTAAAACCACCTTTATAGTCAAACTATCACACAGTGGTTCACGCTGTATCTATTTTCAACATTTGAGAAGAAGAAACTTTGTATGTGCCAAACTGTTAGCACTCCCTTTTAACATTCTGATGAAAATATTCAATAGAATAAAATGTAACACAATTGTGAGGGCCTTTTGTGAAAAAGTGAAAACATCTGCACAGGAGGCTGGATTACAAGCTGCTGTCCAGAAAAAAGAGCCTGAGCTCCAGCTTAGACTCTTAGGAAGGAACAAGATTGGACCTAAGAAAGGGGTTGAAATCAAGTCTTTTTAAGATATGTGCAAAAGGATGTAACAACTTCTCACATCATAGGAAGTTGTTGTGTATGTGTTGGCAGTGGGGTGCAAATGGATGTACAACTGCCAACAATGTTGTGACCTGCAGTGCATCATGGGAAGGATACAACCCACAAAACCATGAGTAACGTGGGTGCCTAGCCCCAACAATGTTGAAAGGAGTGGGCAAACAGATCCAACAATGTTGGGCTACACTTTGGCAATTATCATGGAACAAAAGGAATGTTGGGAGTTGTTTCAAACTTTGTGCAAAACCTCCCAAAAAGACACAACAACATGCAACAGGTGTGCAAAGGGGCGCAACAGGTCACATCCAACAATGTTGCAAGTTGTTGGCCAATAATCTTGTATCCGTTTGCACAGGGCTGTAGATATGGCCATGGAAGTTTCCTCTTCACTATGCGACAATTCAGCAACCTAGTTTAACTCTTCTACTTTTACGTGTTAAAACACAGCAGCACTACTGTAAAAGTAAAATATTATCACTACACACCTAATACATGCTCCATGAAGAAAAATCTTCCTCCCTAAAACAGACATCACCAAAAATATGTTACATTGAATAATAGCAAGCACTAAACAAAGAGAAAAAACACGAAAAAGAAATTAAATTTGTAACCCGCTGATACTTAATTAATACTTTTAAATGATTATGACATTTCATTATTGTTATTGTGGTTACATACAGTTCACGGTGATATACAGTAAGGTTATATAGAGCTAACTGTATACAACCACATATTATTCCCCGACTCTGATATTTGGACCTGTCAAGACTGGAGTGGAGGAATAAATTGAATAAATTATAATGGAAAATATAGCATAAAAATACTGCGTGCATATGTAATTGAACTTTAGCAATCATGAGGCTGAGAAGGACATAAAGAGTTGTGCTGATCAAGGGGCATGTTTGAGCCACAGTTCATAACACCCTCCAAGTTCTGCATATTTCTTCATATCATACAAAAGCGGCATCTAATGATTGTTTCAACATAAAGATTTCAGTCTTCAAAAGACTTGCCAGTTCTTTAGCAGTTTCAGGATATGAAAGGATGTTTATTCTAGCAGATATTGTTTAAATTAATAATTGCAGTTGTCATCTGTATTTTTGCTATCCCTGCTAATTAATTTATTATGTTTCTGAGGAAGTAGTTTGGCTATTTCAGTTTTGCATTTTTCTCATCCATTTTTCCCATTTTTTCCATTTTTTTCTCTGCACTGGAGAAACAGCTGACAGAGCCAACACACCATGCATCCCATTTTTTCTACCATTGTTCTACCAACTCAGGCATGAGGCCTGACAGGAATTTAGGTGGTGAGTCACAGCGACCAAAGAGTATAAAGGGAACATATAAAGTTGTACTGCATAACACCCCATGAAGAGGCCTCGTGAGGCAAAGAAAAATATTGATCTATTGACCTTGGTGAGACTTAAACCCATAACCTGCATATTCGATTTACCCTTGCTTTACCTGCAACTAAGCTATGATAGATCACCATGGAGTGGAAGATACATTGTATAAAGTTGTGCTGTGTAACACCCTAGTAAAAAGAATTAGGGGACAATGCCAATGCATTAGGAAGGAAGAAACTCTTTTGACCTTAATGAGCCCATTACCTTTGTATAAGATCTGCCATTGCTTAACAACTTAGAGGCCTGGTCCCCGTTGTTCAAAAGGTGGATAGCGCTATCTACCGGATAAATCTCTATCCACTGGATAGCGCAATTGGTTTCCCTAACACTTATCCCCTGGATAATGATTTATCCGGTTGATAGCACTATCCAGCTTTTGAACAACCGGGGCCAGAAGAGCAAGTCATTGGGAATTAAAGTGGTGCATTGCAGACCAACATAGCCTACACAACAGGCATTATATTTTCCCATTTTTCAGGTTTCATGAAGTGAAAAGCGAGCAAGGAGCATCAGTTATGCATGATGGGGGAATGCACAGAAAAAATTACACAACAGAGCTACATGGTACAACATTACATTGAACCTTTCTTCACTGAGATCCACCACCTGCAGGACTAATATAAGAAAGTACATTCTCTATCAGTTTCCAAGGTCCTAAAGTCTTTAACTCTCTTAGTTTTGAAATTCAAATGCAACAAGTACAGTCGCCTCCTTTTGTTGTAAGCTGAAAGCATTCCTCTTATCATAAATATTCATTTAATTCTTTCTTTACCTCTGCTTTTTATTTTCATTTTTCTTTTCTAAGGTACGATTATCTAAAATACTATAATGATTACTGTAACCATTTATTTTTTCATGTATAATTCTGTTCATATTTTTTTGTAATAAATAACTGAGGGAGCCCATTCCTTTTTAGCCCAGTGGTTTCCCTTGGGCTTCCTTGCTATTATCATTTAAATATTCAGATTTTCTTGTTTTTCTACATCCTTATGGCAAGCAATAACCTGATTAACTGAACTGAACTGAACTACCCATGGACAACAGTGACTTAGATCTAATCCAGAGATTGAGGGCTCAATTTCCTCTGTAGCCTGATTCTCAGACGTCCGAGAAGGAGGGAAGCAAAAGGGACGGTGAACGACCTCAGACGTCTGAGAATCAGGCTATTTCCTCTGAGGTCAAAAGATTTTTTCTTTACCTCGATCACGTGGTCCCCTTTAATCCCTAGTTGATGGTTAATGAGTTATTAGTGGCACTTTCTCTCCAGAGTTAATTCTCTGTTCCAGAAGTTGTTCCTAGCAGGCACTAACATAAGACAATCACTATACTCACAGGCATTAAAACTCTTTTCACTTCTTGAACAGTTTTCACTATTTGTTCCTCAGTTAGGGAACACAACAACTTTGTACATACAACAGCAGCAACAGAATTGTCCTCAACACCGACTTTTCCTTCGGCACCACTCATATCCACTGATGAGGCTACAATAAACGTCTTCATTTGAACTCTGCCGCCAGCTTTTGCCAAATTTTCTTTGAGTAGTTTCTCCACATGTGGATTGTAGTCAACTGCTATAAGAGACATTCCTTGAGGATAATCATCAAAGTTTTGTCCCGCACCAATGCCAATTTCCAAAACATCACCTTTAAGTTGCTTAAGATGTTCATCAAGGTCGGAGAAGAGTTTTTGCTTCAAAGGTGCAAAGAACAGGCCACCAGTTTTTGACCATTGATTTTGTCTCTCGGCAAATGACTTTTTGTACCAACCTGACGACATTGCCATTTTTACAATAATCTTTGCTAAAATCGCTACAACTGCAGCTATTGTTAACACAGAGCAAAGTGCCCAGAGAGACGCCATAATTAATTTAGGACAAACTGTTAACCTGCGTGTGAGTGGAGTGTAGAGATAACGCCTTCAAAAAGCTAACGTTGACCACGGTTAACTCGTTTGACCTTGATTTGCTGAAAACGGATAATCTGGCACTGTCATGTATAGGAAACGAAATGTGCTGATGATGTGACGATGACGATGATGAGCTTCTGTGTGTGAGCCCGCGCTCAGATAAGGAGCTGGTGGTTTCGTACCCAGATCTCTTGTCGACGAATTTCCAACGACAACTTCTCGAAATAAATTTAAGGTGGCTGAACAAAGTTTTGGTAGTTTGTGAGTATATGTCATTTGCAAAATTTTGGCAAGTGAAAAATATACTGATGAAAAATTTTGATTGACTGGTAAAATTTGACGTTTTCGTAGCTTCCATGGCAACATCAACGAATGCATACAACCTTAAAGGTTCACTTTTGCTCAGTTTACATAATATTCACTCATTAGATTTTCCTATAAACTTGCACACAGCTTACTATAATTAAACATGGCATTTGAAACTTATTTGACCAAATTTTAACAGACGGGTTTCTAGATAATCAATAATATAATTGTACAGTGGAGCCCCGCCTTACGGTCACCTCGTAATGACCGTAATAACGGCAACTTTTTTTTTGGCTGTCTGGCAAAAACCGCCATACATTTTCTTATAAAAGAAACCCTCGTTCATACGGCCATCCCGTTTATACGGCCACTTTTTTTGGCCCAGTGGTAGCCGTATCAAGAGGGTTCCACTGTACCGTAATTATTATATGTGTCGCAAAATTTGTCTGTTCAACTTCCTTTTTAAACAATACCCCCGAAATCTAAGAAGAAAATAGTAGCTCAAGCTCTTCTTAGAGGAGACTCAAGAAGCTTTAAGAGGCGGGGTGGGGAGGGAGTCCCCAGAGAACCTGCTCAAGGGCTATGATCGACCACATTAGACTACCAAAGATATAGATGATTCAAGAGAAAGATTTAGATCGCGTCGCGATCGGTGTATGAACACCTCCATCCACCGCAGACGTTCCATTGATCTGCTGATGTTTTGTGTCAGTTTTTAAAGCTGAGCCCCTTGTGGAGGTGTATCATGAGACCCCCAGTGGGTCGAAAGAGGCCAAAAAAGGGAGGGGGTTGGGGGGTTACCTGCCTTTTCCGTCTCCCCAGTCCACCACTGCTGTTTTGCTCCGTTTGTTTCCTTTTACCCCCACTACTGTGAGCCAGGTCCCTGGCTAGGGGAGGCGAATTTTTTAGCTTAATTCTGATTATTGTACATAAGTTTGTTTCTACACATGACATGTTCTCTTGGATCTGATAAAACAATGTCACCAGTATCTATTTATAGTAATACCTACATTTGAATAACAAACTGGCTTTCGACCCAGTAATTCAAATAAGCGCCCCCAGCGTCCTCAGCGCTAATTACGGCATTATTTGGAACTCGTGCTTGGTTTCACCGCAACTATCTGAATCCCGTCTCGATCCCCCCTACATTTTAATAAACGATCAGGACAAAAATTAAAAACTGGAAACCTTGTTTTTTCAGTACGTTATTTTTGGCTACCTTTTCTCAATTTAGTTATATTTTAGACATTTTACGTCATCTTCATTGCATTGTCCTCAGAGGAAACCGAAAGCAATTGTACCTTTAAGAAAATTTTAATAAATATGTTAATTCTTCAGTTATATAAACAATACTGAACATAGCGATTTTTTGTGATGATTATGAATGTTATTTATATATCATATTTGCTCTTCTTTTGCATTTTAATTTCATAAAATACGTCTACGAGCAATACACAACGCAGACGCCTGGACATAACTTTTAAAAAACGCTGCTTCTTATCTGATTAAACAACACCAACATTTGAAATGAGCCGTGCAAAATCTAAGAAGACACAATAAAAACCGAAAAGGTGTTAATGAACTTCCTTCAATGATCTCTACTCAGGATTTTACTGATTACGTTCGTTTTTAATAAGTATGCATCACTTTTGTCAAAAAATGGATGTTTTCACCCGGGATGGTCAGGCATTGACTACACTTTTTTTAATCATAGCGTGCTTTGTGAAGGAAACTTAATTGCCTGCATTAATATTTATGCCGGCGTAGTCATTTAGTGCGTGTATAAAACAATGCTTTTGACGACCGTTGGAGAAAACATATTCTAAGAGAAAAGCATATTTCACGGTACTTATGATGAGTTTACAGGTGATCAATCAGGTACTTCTACCTTTCTATGCCGTGGTTGTACTGTTCGGTATCCCAGGTAACGTTCTATTTATTGCAGTGGTTAAAAGAACACGTGTCATGCACTCAACAACAAACTTTTTGCTTGCCAATATCGCTATTGCTGATATTATTTCTCTAATCGTCTGCATCCCTGGGGTGATACTGCAATTTATTGACCATCCAAAGGGGGATCTTGGCAGTTTCCTCTGTAAATTTGTTACCATGCACCACGTCGCTGGAGTAACGCTGCTAGTCTCTGGTTTTACACTGACGGTTATATCGGTTGATAGGCATAACGCTCTGCTTCGACCAATGGACGAAAATATACGTCTTCGAAAGAAACATGTTAAATTTGCTATTGGCCTTATTTGGATCTTCTCTACTGCGCTTGTGATACCACTTTTTGTCAAACAGCACTACGTAGAGGAGGTAAATAATTGTCATATGAACTGGAAAGCAACAACTTCTAAGGCTTACTGGGGAATATTGGCAGTTCTGGTAATGCTTTCGTTACTGGTAATGTCAGTGTGTTATTTTCGCATTGTGAAGAGTATTTTAAGTAAAGAGTTGTTGGCAGAAAACAGGCAAGAAGGGAGTACACCAATGTGGGATGAAGACAACAAGAGTAAACGGAAACTGGTCAGGATTTTAGTCAGTGTTACTGTGATTTTCATCATGTGCTTTGTTCCATTTACATGTGTTTCGGCAATGAAAATTTCAACAAGTACACTGTCTTACAAAGTGCCGTATTTTTTAGTGTATTTTAGCTGCTCAGTAAATCCTGTGGTGTATATAATTCAGAGTTCCAATTACCGGACGGGTATAAAGTATCTCTTTGCCAACAGACGCAGAGTTCATGCAATAAAAGAAAGTATCATCTTGTCCGCACATGTTCGCACATCTAAGCCTCTTTAATGTGCTGGCCGGAGACAAGGAATAAAACAACGTTTGTTTTACTCGTGAATGCCTTGCCAGTTTTGTTGTGGGAGTGACGTGTTGAGCCGATGGTTTCTCAGTTATACAGCGAGCAATAATTGAACCCATTATTTTTACCGCGCTCGTTAGCTGCTGATTCAAATTCATAAGGGAAAGGGAATTTGTTGGAAGAGCAAGTCACAACGCATCAAGGGCCGACCTAAGTGACCTAAAATTTAAAGTTATCGGCCTACATCCTACCGCCGAGTTATCAGTGTAAAAATCTTAGTGTAACGTCTGCCCGGACTCTAATTATTCAACAACTGAAGCAGATTCAGTACGCTTTGGATGAAATATAAAAATCACGATGTCTTAACCTTAACTTTGTTAGTGTGACTCTTTAATTGTTTGTTAGTTTTATCTCTACATTCTTTAATTCTTCAAAAATTCCAAAATTGTTGCTCTAATAGAAACGGTAACAGTGCAACAATTCGAACAATAGCCGTATTTATACTTGGGACGTTTAAGACGTCTCGGTATAAATACGGGAAATAAGGCACACGCATTAAACGTCAGGGCCCGGTTCCTAGAATGATGGTCAAGTTTAACCTAGGATTAAGCGAAATTTTAAGCACGGTTTTCTTGCTAAGAGCATGTAACTCAAGCTTACACAATACTGTTGAGCCTTCCCTCTGAGACATGGTAATGATTTACACAAAATGTTACTCTAAGCAATGCATAGGAAGGTAAATACAAAAAGAAGAACAAAATCTTAATCCTGGATTAGCGCTAACCGACCTCTCAGGAACCGGGCCCAGACGAATAAAACGTCTGAAGTTAAGTGCGTCCGCTCGACGCACTTAACAGATGAATTAGTCGTCTCAGACTTTTAAGACGTCTAGTATAAAAACGGGACGCACTTTACGACGCACTTAACAGTCAGACGTTTAATGCGTCTGGACGTTTAAGACGTCTTCTAGTATAAATACAGCCAATCATGATGGCACAACAATGTTGCAACTCTGTCTTGCGCAGAAAATTGATGGTACGAATCCTCCCGTGTATGTAACATCGCCGTTACTCAGTCCTAAAGGGGTGTCAGTAAAACGCGGGGTCAGGGTCGAGGCCGGGGCCGGGGCAGGGATTGGGGTCGGGGTCTATCCTGTTTTAAAGAATATTATTTTAGGGTTAGGGTTAGTGTCAACCCTTACCTTTACCCTAACCCCCGCCTAAAACAGCATTCTTTAAAAAAGATAGAGCCCAACCCTGCGTTTTACTGACACCCGTCCTGACTCCTGAAGCAGGTACAAAACCTTCGATTGACAGCATTTCCTTATTTCACAGTGCAACAGTAGAAGGGCTGAGATAAAGTCCAGACGTCAACTTCTTATTATTTTGGCAACACTAAATTAGTTATGGAGAATACTGTATAAATGATCTGAGTGTTTCCACCCCTGGGACATTGTCCGCGTATAATTGCCCTGTATATATATATAAGTAAGAGATGTTTAATCCGGATGATTTCTATGTCTGCCGATGTCTTTATTTTTTGCAACTAAAAAGGTGTATTTCCCACTTTAATATCTTAACCCGCTTAACACTTGTATAAGTGTTGTATCCCGTTTATACGGACACTTTCTATGGATCCATCAGTATTCCCCGACCATTTAACTCTTGACGGATTTCGGGTCATCAAGAATTTTTTTTTTCTATGGATCCATTTTTTTTTCCTTTTTTCCCATAAGTAATTTGATATCCGACAAGCGCTTGCACACCCACCCCCCCAGTCGGCCCCTTATCGAGGTTCCTCTAGCGATTGTGTCACATGATTTACGTCAAGGGATTAGCATAATGTATAGTGCACTGCAGCTATTAGCATTTCTTAGTGTTGAGTCACGCTTCAGATACGACTTCGCGTACCTGTATTTTCAGTTTGAAATTGCTGCTACTTGCGATGTAAAAAGGGCCGAAAAAATTCGAGAATGGTAGGTATTTCAGTCACAGGTTATTCCTGTCATCCTTTCCTAAGCAATATTTCTAAGACATTTTTTCCTGTGCTCGTTATCCTAGCCAATATCCCTGAAAATAAATACACGTACGAAGTTTAAAATAGAAAGCTCCTTTTTCGAGTCACAATTCGGCAGTTGATTAACTAATCCGTTGCGAAAATTATGAAGTTTCCCATTAACATATTGACGATACGAAGAGCTGAATTGAGCAAGGTACTGATTCATGTTGAGCTACTACCTTTTGCTTATTCAGGAGACTTATTACAATATAAAAACACTGATAAAAATTATGCATCCATTCGCAGTTGTTCTTTTGTCCATTCATTCATTGCATGATCAAGGAGATAACACTCTCTGAGATCTGCACAATTCTTCAGATTATACGAAAGCCAAATCCAATAATTTCTTTATAATTCATCCAAAATAATTCATACTATAAAAATTTACTTTTTAACTCCCGATGTTAAGTTCCCGTTTGCTGATTTGCGTGATTTGAATGTTTAATTAAGCAGATCTTCTGTAATTAATAGTATAGCTATCACCTGCAGAGTTGTGTTGTTGTTGTTCTTGCTAAGTTGCTCGGCAGTAGTTTGGCCATTTAAACCCTATTTCTTTTTCGTGCAACGAGTGACAATTTCCGCCATTTTCTCTAGCTCTACCAAAAGTAAACGCAGCCTCGTGCCCAGGGTTTCTCGCCAACCCTCTCTTCTGGCGACATATATCTGATCTATGGGATCGGCGCAAAGCCGTCTTTAATAACCCTGGCGTTCGATATATTAAAATCCTAATATGGCTGTGAGGCTTTAGGGAGAAAATTGTGATTTTTTTTCACGACTCCATTGTCTCGCAATTCCCGGAAGAGACTTGGGCACAAAGAAAAACAAACCAAATGTAGGGATGTTTTCATGCTTTGGATAAAAATCCTAGTTGTATAGCACTGTTCCTTAAGAAGACCATCTTTGTCAGCCGAAATATTGGCGTGATCAAATGTTTCCTTTAGCTTGCGTGACCGGTTAGTTGTGATATAACGCGCAAGGGGAACACGCGCGCGCGTGTCCTCGAAATTCCTCCCAAGAAAATTACAACCGGCGACGCCTAGCTGCTACACAGGGAGTTTCCTTTTGCCGTAAAACCAGCCTTTTAATTAAAATAGTTTAGTGTCGATTTGTATGGAAATATATATAATGTCTGCTAATTAAGTATCAAGAGAAGTAATTTTGCATCCATAAAAAATCCCTCCAAAGCTGTTTTGTTTTGTTTTTTTTGTCAGCCATTGATTTACGTTTAGTTTCTAATTTAAAAATTTCTGTTTTATATCTTGATGTTTTTAGGAGTATTTTACTAACTTGAGGATCCATTGAGAAGCATAAATGCTAATCGTATAACTTGGAAACAAATTGTCTTGAAACTCGCCAAGTGTACAATGTTCATAGTTATAGTCTTTGCCATCGTTGTATTGTACATCCTATTAAAAGCAGCCACTTGCTGGTCAGAACCACAGAACCTGCCTCCTGGAGAATGTTGGTTTCCATTTCGAGCAATCTTTAATCGATCTGAGATCACTGCACCATGCGAAAGGCTGATGGAAATGGCTAAGGTTTACGGCGATGTTTTTACCATAAAACGAGGAAGACAGATATCAGTTTTCATCAACAACATTTCTGTTGCAAAGAAAGCACTACAAAATAAGGGAAATGATTTTGCTGGAAGGGCTTACTCTCAGGCGTGTGATCTTCTCACGCAAGGGAGGATGGGATTTATAAACGGTGACTTTGACTCCACCTTGGAACTTCATAACAAGGTGTTAAAGTTGGCATTGCATATGATCACAGACACGTGTTTTTCGTTGTCTTTAGAAAAGAAAATCAGCAAAGAAGCAGATTTCCTTGTGGATCGATTCAAAGAGGCCATGAACGAACCATTTGATCCAAAATACAAAGTTTATCTCGCTGTCGTAAACGCATTCTCTGCTATTCTATTTGAGAAAAGATACAAAATTAACGATCCCGAATTTTATGAGGTTGTTGAGCTAAATAACCGTCTCAGAAAAATTTCTAACAATGCAGAAATTTTAGATAGGTTTCCTCTCTTGCGATTTTTCCCTGTAGACTTGGTTAACGATGTGAGCGAAGTCATTCGCTCCAGCGACCGGCTTTTAAAGAATAAACTTAGGGAACATCGTTCTACGTTTATGAACGATAACATCCGGGATTTTACAGACGCGTTGCTGAAGGCCTTCAGCCTTATGGATAGTGGTATGTCTCGTATGAAAGCAAATCAGGTATTGGACGATGACAACTTGATATTAATGATCATGGATGTATTCTTTGCTGGAGTCGACCCAGTATCAGCAACATTGTCGTGGGTTATTGCACATCTAGCAAGCCATCCTCACGTCCAGGCTAAATTACACCTTGAACTGGATGCTGTCATGGGCAGTAATCGTCACCCAAGTCTGAGTGACAGATCTCGTTTGCCGTATTTGCAAGCGGTGATGTACGAAACCCTCCGACTTGCTTCGCCTGTGCCGCTTAGCTTACCACACAAAGCAGTCACAGACTCGAGCCTTCAGGGTTTCACGATACCTAAAGGCTGTTCCGTTATTTTCAACTTCTGGGCTATGCACCACGATGGACGACAGTGGGAGAATCCTTACCAATTCAGACCTGAGAGATTCATTGATGCTCAAGGGAACCTTCTACCTCTGCCCTCGCTAAGCTTTCTACCGTTCGGTTGTGGATCTCGAAGATGTTTAGGCCAATCTTTGGCTATGATAAAATTTTTTCTATTTTTTTCGCGTCTCGTCAGTGAATTCAAGTTCAGTGTGCCCCCTGGATGTGACCGCCCCAGCATGCTTGGTACCACCACCGTCGTACGAGAGCCCAGACCTTTCCGAGTATTTGTCACTTTAAGATAAGTTAATGATAAGCTTCACAGCAGCTTGGACTAAAAACATTACTTTCTGTAATCTGTCACAACATTCACTCTGAATAAGTGAGAGTTATAATTCCCATTACGTCATAACTCGCACTATATGAAGCTTTTATGTGACGCCTTGCGCAACCATTCCAGGTGGCGTGGGTGATGGCGAGTCTGCATAATCATTGCCTAATTTATGCAATAATTATGCGCACTCCCCACATGCAAAAAGGAGTTGAAAGAACGTCGCTAACAGACTTACAACTGCTAGTTTTAGCGATACACTAAAAAAGAAAAAAAAAACGTTAAGTCGGGTGCAAATTCAAATATCGCACTTTGCATAGTACGGAGTAATACTAGTGTTAACAATATTTCTAAGACTAATACAGCTTATAATAGGATCTCTCTTCACTCTCTTGGCTAAAAACAACACTTTAGAGAAAGAAAGGCTGTAATAAAAAAATAGAGAAGCTTAATTCTATACACGATGATGATCTTGATGTATAGAAGCTATACCGTGAGAGTTTTTTATTCAGTCGGAAAAAATAAAGAGAGCACGTTCTTGCTCAGGTTTTGTATTCGAAAAAGCATTGACAAATTTCAAGTAGGTGAAAAGTTGTACAGATGTTTCAAAGAAAGAATATATTTGCGCATTAAATGTTCAAAACGCTTTCCCCCTCTTTTCATCATCAAATTTGAGATCAAAGGTTAACAAAATGACGACAAAAGAAGTCTTATCTGTTCGGATTTTCCTTTCGCCAAATTATGTCGCACACCGCGACGTGCGTATATTAAGCTCATATTTACAATGCGAATGAGCGGAAACTATGCTATCTGATAAAATCTGTAACCTGCTATTTATGTATCTACCTCTTACCTTCTTGGTTTATCACTACTAAGGCTATGGGAAGATAATTTTGTCCTACGTGCATTGTCAAGTGGCGAAATCTTGAAAACGTGATTGCCTCTCTAGCGCATCCAAAGTTGTCACAAAATCATGACAATTATTTTAAGGATCGGGGAAATTAAAGCTTATTTCATCACTGCAACAAGTGTACGACACACATAAAATATGATTTTAATGAAACCCCTGTTATGAATGACACCAAATAGTGGCGAGATTTTCCTTGTGTCTGTGATGATATTTGTCGTTCACTAGCAGGTCGTTGGCCTCGCGATAGCATCCGTCCACCTGCATCGCATATTTACCGTGATGTTACCTCAGCCCAGAGTAAGTTCCCGAAAGCCATTAATTGGACCTGTCAAGGTAATGGCCTCTAGAAAATGGAATATTCTTTTATCGCTAATCGTCGCTTCTGTTTGCGCTGGAGACCAAACTTTGACCCCAGTGGAAGTAGAGCAATTACCATTTTCGTAAAACTAGGAAAGTCACAAAGCAGCTGAATAAAGAAGGTTATGTATTCCTGCACGTTTAACAAATTCACGGCTTAATTAAAAATGTACTGTCAAATTTATTCCCCGGCAATCCACTTGGGGGTCGTTATTTTCCCTAAAGGCAATAAAATTGCGAAAAAAGGTAATTCAAATAAATGGTTTTCGAATTAATTGAATGAAAAAGTTCCGCTCTTTTAATAATATGCTTGAGATCAACCACCAAATTGTCAACTTTCAGATTTGAGTGGACAAGCCGTCAATCAATCATCGAACTCAATTAAGTTTAGCACAGAAAGGTTTTCTGTTTCATTAATCTAAGCGGATAAGACAAAGGCAGTTTATTTCATGCATGCACTTTGTGTACATCACAGGTCTGCAATCACTCCTTTTGTTTTACCACAGTTGTTACAACGGGAAAATTCTTCTGCAGACGAACAGGTTCAATCATCGCTGGTTTAATTTGAAGAATGAAGAAGTCTCACTACAGTTGCGGAGAATTTTTAAGTATCTCCATAGTGTTAGCAATTTTAAGCCTGAGAACAGGTCAGGGCAAGCTCCAGGACTGTCCACCTTGTACGTGTAGTATTCATGATCCTGCGACTCAAGGTGTAGCGGCATTTTGTCAATACAAAAGTGGGCAGAAGTTGTCAAAAATCCCGATGAATTTTCCATCAGGTCTCATTGTTTTACGAATGACTTCGCAACAAGTCCATAAGTTAGACACAACTTCCCTGAAAAATTACTCCAATCTAGAGATGTTTTATTTGGATGCAAATAATCTCGAAACGATACAAGCGGGAGCGTTCTCCAAGCAGCAACGTCTAATTTTTCTTGACCTCAAAGGGAATAAGCTTGACAACATCAGTGCAGAAACGTTTCGAGGACTAGGGTCTTTAACAAGCCTCCGGTTGGACCACAACAAGCTTCAGAAGATTTATCGAGGAGGTTTCTCCTTCATGCCAATGATAAAGTACATAGACCTTAGTTTCAACGAAATAGGCGACTTAGAGGAAGGTGCTTTTGATAGGTTGGATCACTTGAAAACTCTTTTATTGAACGGAAATAAACTAAAAAGAATACATAGCGGCACTTTGGGGAACCTGATGTCTCTAACGCGACTTGAGCTGGCTTCGAATCAGATCCAAGCAATCGATGAAGGTGTTTTCAGCTGTTCGCCCCTTGTGAAGACACTTGTTCTCAAGGCTAACAAGTTACATGGAATTCCCAAAGAAATTTTTTTGGATCTACAGTTTTTAGATCACCTTGATATGAGCCAAAATCCAGTATATTATATTGAGTCGGATGCTTTAATCGGCCTACGAAGTTTACAGACGATAAAATTAAACGACTGCAACATTTCCGGGATTCAAAACAACACTTTCTCTCCGCTTGAAAACATCATCACTATTCACCTTGAAAACAACCCACTGAAATGCGACTGTCATTTGAGCTGGATCCTTAGCTGGTTGTCAAGAAAGCCAGAAGGTACGCTAAAAGGAGCTGTTTGTCGAACCCCACTTAACATTTCAGGTCAAAACTTGTTATCAGCCAACTTGAGGTCATTTGTTTGCACTTGCGCAGACTGCAACAAAGAAGTCGCTTGCAGCGTACCACCGGCCAATTGTTCCTGTACCCAAAACCTAACGGGACTATCATGTAATGATATCTGTCAATCACATAACGAACCAGTGACTTGGTGCAGAAAACAAGATGGAAACTGCTCTTGCAAGAGTAGTGCTGTTCCCCAGGAAACGGGCAAGACTTCAAACTGCTCGTTTGACGTAACTTCAGAAAAATGCAGCGAGCATGGTGAAGTAGCGAAAAAAGGAGCTCATTTAGAGTGTGTCTGTCAAACAGGATTCACTGGAAACGGAATCATCTGCGAAGACATCAACGAATGCAATAAAACTCGAAAAGCATGTTTTTTTGAACATGAGGTGTGTATCAATACATTGGGCTCATATCGCTGCGAATGTAGTCGAGGTTTTAGGTACATGATGGTACCTGGAAGCATAAGTGCCTGTGAAGATATAGATGAGTGCAAGGAAAATAAACCGTGTGATCTTCACGCCAAATGCCATAACATTAAAGGTGAGTATAGTAATACCAGCGATCAACTGGTAGGCCTGTCCCGAATGTGCTCGCCGGCAACTTTTGCGGTTGGGTGCAACTTTAATTGCGGTTCTAGCAACCACGTGCAAATTTGCGCTTTCTGGGCAATTTCTGAGCAAAATATAGGTTTAGTGCACATATCAAGCACGAAACAGTTAATGATTTCACAGAAAGCTGCAAGTTATGCGAATTTCTTGAGTGTTTATCAACCTATTATGGAAAAAATAACGTCCTAGAATTTACAATTGTTGCCGTATGAATATATAGCTAAGCGGTATAATGTTGTTCAAGGCTCTCATGGCGAGCAAATGGACTACTTGTTTTTTCACCCATATTTGATTTTTGGCACTGAATATTAGCAACTATTTGCATGGCATTCCAGTAAGCAACTTTCCCGCATTTTACGAGCACAGTCGATCGGGACAGGCCTATCAACTGGAATTACAAACTCCCCTTCTCTCCCATTCCATCCTCTCTCGACCCACCCCCCTTCCCCTGCCACATCTTCGGGAATTCTTATTTCTATGTCACTGTGTATATGATAGCGAGCGACGGGTATGGGAATTTTATCGTCCGTTACAAACATTCATAGAAGTTTCTAAAGCTTTCCTAGTTTTTTTCGTCACATATTTAATACACATTTGTGGCCTGATTTTTCGCTAACTGTATCCTCCAAAGGTCTGTGACACAAATCGATAGGAACAAGCAATCGCAGAATGTACCCCTGATTTGGTCCTTAAGGAGTAAGATATAGAATAACTGATAGGTTACCCCAACGGTAAGGAGTTTTAAATCTCAACACGAGGTGAAGATAAAAAATAGAGGAGGGCATGTTGATGAGCATTACATTAAGCTAGTGAGAGAATGAATTAGATAACAATTGTTAACGCGGATGTTGTCCTACAGTATCATCAATCATTTTTACCAATTAAGGACAAATCCCTTAAAGAGTTTTCAATGGCTTTCCTCAGTTTTTAAGTTGATGAATACACTTTGCTGGTTTGACTGTTCGATGATAATCCTCCAAAGGTCTGTGAAAAATCTGGGAATTGTCGGCCTCAAACTTGGTCCTTAATTAAACGGACCGCACGATATCCGTAGTGCCGGACATGGAACGGAATAATTTTTTAACGTTATCTTCGGGTTAGACAGACGCTTAAGCGTGTCGGGAGAGGATTAACAAGACATAAAAAATAAATGATTACTCAGTCCGCAAGTCGAGTCATTCATATCCAACAAAACTAATTCAGAAAAACAGAAAGTCGACAAAACTCTGAAGTTTCACATTATTATTTGTTGCACAGTTTCTTGTAGATTTTGTAAAAGTATTATACAGAGTTAATATTTTGTCTGCAGTAAAAAGAGTGTCCAGCACCGCTGCGGCACATAGTTAAAGATGATATTGAGAAAATCATGAAACGATGAAAGATTAAGGCAATCTCTTAGGAAAAGAGGTTCCGTTTGATTGTCCACGAAAGATTCATAAAACAAATGGTTTTCAGGTCACCAATCAAACGCAATTAAAAATCTGGTTGAACTTGTTTTTTAGAGGCAAAGTAAGATTTTTTCTAAACAATAACAACAATGAAAGGAACTCTTTTGCCTCTATCGTGTTGACTTGTGACTTGTCAAATCCCAGAAATTTCATAATCTGCGAAAGAAAACTGGGGAAAGAAATAACAACACTGACAAGAAATAACAAGAAATAATAACGACGCTAAGTCAAATAGACTGCTTTAACATTCATTTCCTTAAATTGCCTTCAAGGCAAGTTATTCGTCTCCCGTGTTATTTCGTAGTTTATATCAATCAGTTTTCTGTTTATTGAAGGAGTCGACAGCTAGTCGAAGTGACAGCACGTCAAAGATTTTTGAAATGAAGAAATTTAAATTTGCTTGGACAAGGCTCAAAAAGCTCTGTTGAACGCCCCTAACAATATAACTTTCAACTTAGCAACGATAGAAAAAAGGTGTTCTTTTGTGACAATGCAGTTAATTTGACAACCCCTCCCACAGGAAATTTCAATCTGAAAAGAAATATTATTCTCAAACACAGTGCTTTTATTGAATGCTAGCTTATTCTCTCTTGTTGAATGTTAATTTGCGTTCGAAAAGGCCGAATGACATCATTCAACGTAGCCTGCAGTATTTCTTAAAAGCCTCATTGACCTCCGCTTAACTTATATTATTGAAATATATGAATTTTTGGTTAACATTTGGAGGAGAAAAATGTTACAAATACATCATCAAAATTTTTTATCAAGCTTTAACAGAGCGGTCGAGAAAGAAAACGGGATGAATTAAAATTGGGTTGATAAAGATTTTTCAAAACATAATCTAATCCTTAATATGCATCACGCAACTCACGAATCAACTGAAAGCTTTTTTCAAATATTTCCTCGATTACGCCTTACCTATCATGTGAACTAAACATCCTACTAAGTTTGTTTAGATAACATGTCTTTGACGCATTTTGCTGATGTAATACATGATTGAGAAACTTCAGTTGAGGAAATTTGAAATCACGTATCCTGAATGACATATGAATTTTGGTTATATACTTTGAAACTGAAGATAGTGAAATGCAGTTTTAATGTTTTTAGCCTCACAGCATTGGCGGCTGGAAGTATTTCTCCTGCAAAATATAATTATAATCACTCTTTGATTCTCTAAAATGACTCCGGCGACGATAGTTCCGCTACTTAGTGGAAGCTGAGAGCTTCTCATATGGCTGCACAAATTTAAAACGAACGATCACATGAAACTCTCTATAAAACGATCTTTGATTCATTGTTACCGTACAGTAAATCCTGTAATCAACGTGCGGGCGTTTAATTGATACTTAGAAGATAAAAGGAAAAAACGGGGCAGCTTACTCTAACAGGCGGCCATCTTCCTTTATATGATATACCGAGGGAAGGGATGCCGGGGTTTATAGTGGTGTGGGAGCGAGGGATGGGTGATGGGCACCCAACGTCAATTTTCGGAAGACGATTTGAGATTTAGAATTTTGGGAACATTTGTTGTAAAATCTCTTGCTTGCCTGCCTCTCCTAGGATTTTTGAACATCTAAAAATGGTATAATTGCCCATTTTTGATGGATTTTTACCCTGAAAAGGTCACCTAGAATTTTCGGGAGCTTTTTTTCTGGCTGAAATTTTCGAAAAGGTAAGCTTTGATCCCTATAATTTTTTTGATCACCAGACTTTTAGCTGGTAAATCCGAACAGTTGAAAAAGTTTTAGGGGATAAAAATATGCCTATATCTACCGATTAAATACTAAAATACGTCTAACAATGCTGTATATAAGTGGTTTTTAATTATATTCTCGTTGGGTGCCCCTGATGGGTCAAAGTAAGATCGCGGGAAAGTGCCAACTTATCACTCCACTGACCTATCGCTGAGAATTAACTGCTCAAAACGTTGGGTTAAGAATAAAGTGTTGGGTGTTTTCTCGGCTCCTTCTTGAACCAGCTTCCTGATCCTGGAAAGTGTCGGTAACTTTGAGGTCCCGGGAAGCTGTTTTATGTTTGACGAGTTTGCATTGAAGATAAAAGTTTCAATAGTTTTGAAAACGACACAATGAAACTATCAGTTAAGCAAAACTGACTGGTTTGTGAGCTAGTTATGTGCTACAGTCGGTAAACAGCCTAATCCTCCCCGTAACGGAAGAATGGATTAAAGAGTCTACGCACGGAGGAAGACGCTCAATAAATTTTTGTTCAACAAAATGGAACTTTTTAAAAATACTTCCTGTTGATATGAGTCTGAATGGGAGGGGGTGGGGGATGGGGGTCCACATTTCGGTTGTCGGCTAACATTTCGTTAATTTGCACTTCTTTCTAAATGCAAATATCGATAATACCGGTTCCTGTCGGTGGTCTGTCACGTTTTTCCTGTCGGTAGTCTATGATTAACGCTGCCGTTAGAATCGAAACAAGAAGCTGTCCTCCTACACTCGGATTCCTGTGTAGTCTGATGTGTGAAAATGTGTAAAAAAAAAAATGTTAGAAAAATAAAAGGTTTTCCTCGCTATATCTTTGGCGTTATTTTAAAAGATGTATGAAAGCTCTTTTTTTAAAATCATTACAGGCTCGTTCACATGCACGTGCCTTGCTGGTTACAGCGGAGACGGAAAAACTTGTCTTCCGTTACCCGACAAACCGATGGACATCAAAGTAACGGCGATAAACCCAAACGAAGTGACGGTGACTTGGTATGTGGCTAATGATACCATTATAAGGTATTTTACAGTGGAGTATAAGTGGTTTGACAAAGAATGGCAGTTTGTTAAGATACAACCTAACAGAACGCAGGCACATCTGAAAGATTTGGATTCAGATTCAAGTTACCTGGTGCGCATAGGTAAGTCATGTGACTATGGGAAGCAAACACGTGCAACTTGTTTTCTACATTGCTGCAATTCAAGTTGAATAGCGATGCTGCGCGTTTTACCATGCACCCACGAATCAAACCTGGCTTACAACAAATCAGGTTGTTGTGAATATTGACTTCTGACTGGCTTAAGTTACGCGGGAGTCATGCCATACATGGGAGTTACGTCACTTACATTGCGCCGGTAAAACGCGCAACATGCATATGTACAAATTTTGTTGCAAAAACTAGAACTACTCTCGGTTTCTTTCTATTCGCTGACTTAAATGTTCGTTCAATCCTGTAACCTGCTGATGGTTATTAGGGAGCTTAGGCAAAGACGACGGCGACGTCAACGAGAACGGCAAAAAAGCAAAACAACAACTTTGCACGTGCATCACGCTTTTTTGAATATTTCTTAGCTGTCGTTGCGAGACTATAACGTGAAAGTGCCTAATGTCACGCTTTGTCGAAAACGTGAACAAAAGACAACAACTTTCTTTTTCTTTTCCTGAACTTTGATACAGTCCTTTAGGACTCAACTCCAAAAACATATTTCAACATTTGACGAATTAAACGAGATGGAATAAGCGCGATAAAGTTTGAGGCAGCGCGAATCCACTTTTTAAGTGACGTTTTCGTAGCTGTCACCGTCATCCCCATTCAAATTTCCGCTCAATCCCGTAATCCCGATTCAAATTTTCGTCCAGTCCCGTGATCCCGATGGATATTTTGGGAATCCCTCATCCAATGCATACTTTTAATCACGAATCTTGAAAATTTTAAAATCCAGACAAATCCGAGAGAAAATAAAGTATTTAGTTTAAAAAGATGACAGTTTTGTGTTTTCACTGAAGCATGCCCCAAAAGTACTATCTCTAATTCAGTGGGTATAATTTAGACTCTTTCAATTCTACCTTTTGGATTCTCAGTGGTTTTAATCCATTGTTCCAAGCTTACAGGCATGCATGCCTAAGCTGGAAGGGTTCAACGAGTCTTTAAGTTATATGCTACTTAACTTTTGCGTCTTTTCACAGGTGCCTTTTCCATCTACAACACAAGTATCTACAGTGACGAGAAATTATTCAAGACTCCCGCCATAGATCCTGGTACAACAGTAAGCGCGACAGACAATCCACAAAACTCGACTACTATTGTTGTAGCGCTCGTAGTGAGCATTGCTGTGTTGGCAATCATAGCTGGCGTACTTTACTTTTTGATGAAGAGAAGAAAGACTCAGAAAAAAAGACATGCTCATCCCCAGTTTCCTGGACTCGAGGATCTGATTGAGATGAGATCGCGGACTCACAGTGGGGGGCCTGAGACGAGAGGAAACCGAGATCTAATGGAAATCGGTAGAGCGACTCTTTTTATACATTTGAGCTTCGTCAACTCAAATTTCTTGCAAGAAAATAATTTCCAGATTTGCTTACACCTGTCTTAGTGATCAGCTTTTTGGTTCTCCATAAAATATCGAGTAAAACCAAAAGAAGCGGAAAAAATCCCTGGGGGAATCCCATATGAAAGTGGTGCGGATGCTCGTTGTCTCGCTTAGGGGTGTAAATTTCGGATTTTGGTCCTCACTTAGGGTGTTCTGGGCAAAACGTCATTATATTTAACCGTAAAGGTCTCTTTCAGGGTTGCACGCGAAGAAATATAAAAAATTGTATCTTTTCAATTCGTTTTATTTACTCGATTCATGTAATCAAAGCTTAAAATGGTCTCTTTTGGGGGTGAAGGAAAGGTTGGGTCACGCCCAGATTGGTCTCCTTTAGGGGTCTAATTCAAAATTTCCGACGAGCATCCCGGCCCCTTTCATATGGGAGCCCCCCCTCCCCCCGGGGAAAAATAAGTTTATGATATATGAGGATCAGGAAGGCAGGGAATTCTCGGGATCCGAGATTTTTTACCGAAATTTAGAGCGGGATTCGGGAAAACGCAAAATTTCTAGACGGTATACGGGATTTGACCACTTCTCTGAAAGCGGGATTCGCCAAATCTTTGCACGGGATGCGATATTGGGATATCAGGATGCGGGCTTCTCTTGAGCAGGAGCGTGAATGCGGCGTGATCCGCACCCCACTTCCAGACCATGATAGTAGTTGCCTTGATTGTACCACCCTCAATTTTCATTTTAATGAATCATCATTAACGTCTCTTTTCCTTGCAGGAAGCGGTTTGCAGTCGTTTACTAGCTGCACTGCTGATAGCAAAGATGAATGGGAAATTCCACGTGATGTTCTCATTATTGGTCACAAAATTGGTGAAGGACAGTTTGGTCTGGTATTGGAAGGCACGCTCATGACTGGTAAGTATGGGGAGGAGGTTAGACGCCAAGAAACGCTCTTGTAAAAGAGGGAGAGGTGTGTATGGGTGTATGAGAGAGAGAATGGGCGCTGCAGATTGGTGCGTAGCCGCGCCACCTACAATTAGATTCAGATTCGAAACTGACAATTGGTTGAAAGTTCTTACTTAGTACACTGGAATTTTTTCTTGCGGTCAACGGTAGAAAAAGAGTCTATCTATTTCTTCTTCTCTTCATTCACTCATTCAGCGGCGTTAGTCAATTACCTTCTAGATAGACCAGTTTCAATATATTAAAATTGATACTTGGCTCCGAGGCCTAGGAGAATAAAACAAAAGAAATGAATTATTCACTGCTTAGCCTCAACGTGACTTCTTTTGTTTTTATTCCTCTACGGCTTCGAAGCCAAGTATGAATTTCGATGCATCGAAATTGCTCTGCTCATGTGTTTGTTACCATAGCTTTCGTTCATTCATCAGTTTCATTAATTCATTCATCCACCCATTCATTTACAATATCTTTTTAAAAGCTGGTGTACTGTATTCAGTGATCTTCGGTTTGAAGCAACAAAGCAAAATATTTGAAACAAACGGACGTTTTTTATTTGTTGCAGAGGAGGGTCCGCTGAAGGTTGCCGTGAAAACTATCAAAGAAAATGCAGATCGTTTCGACATCAAAGATCTTTTGCAGGAAATGGAAATGATGAAAGAGATTGGTCAGCATCCACATATTGTCAGCCTGGTGGGCACGTGCACCACACCAGGACCGCTGTACATCATTACCGAGTACGTGTCAGGCGGCAATTTACTTGATTATCTCAGGGCCAGTAGGCCAGACGATGAGACCTACGTCAACGTCACTTCCACGCTCAGCTCCCGTGACCTGCTGAAGATTGCGCTGGACTGTGCACGGGGAATGAGTCACATCGCCAATAAAAAATTCGTCCATCGAGATCTTGCTGCTAGAAATATTCTTCTTACTGAAGAACACGAGGCTAAAGTTGCTGATTTTGGGTTGGCGCGCGATATTTACGGCGATGGACAATACGTGAAAACCGGTGGAGGAAGACTGCCTATCAAATGGATGGCTCCAGAATCTATTCAGGATCAAGTGTATACTACCATGTCTGATGTCTGGTCATTCGGGGTTCTCCTATGGGAAATCGTCACCATCGGGGGCTCTCCATATCCATGTGTCCCGGTAAATCTTCTCTTAACGAAGCTCCTGTGTGGATATCGTATGTCTAAACCAGCGCACTGTTCCGAAGAGCTTTATAACTTGATGATGTCGTGCTGGGACATGAATCCCGAGGCCAGGCCGAACTTTTCCGAACTGTGCCACATACTTTCAGAGATGCTGTCGGAATCGGCGAGGTCCTACGTGAACGTCACTGTAAGTGACGAAAGATTTCATGGACATGTGGAGGAAAGCTCTGGTAATGCGCATGAGCAGACAACCTCAGTTTAGTAAAATTTTCTGCATGCCCTGAGAGCCTCAGCTTCTTTTGGTCAGCGTTTGACTTGACAGGCTCGAGCTCATTTCCGAACAGTGGCTGGTAATCGAGCCTATTGATTTGATTGCCGTCACCTAGCTTGGAGTTACAGATTCGAAGAGACAAAAGCTTAAAGTGGAAATGCTAAAGCCTGGTGCTTAAAGATCAATAAAAGCTTATTTTGCCACCACGCCCAGCTTACCAGCGTATAACGCTGTGACAATGGAATATATTACACCTGAAGGCTTATCAAAACATTTTGTTTTACAAGGAGTTAGGATGATTATTGCTTTTTCTATTAGTAATATGTTACATAATATTTGACATGTTTTCATAATGTTACTATCATATTCATTCGATCACCAATATAATTGAACCAACATTTGCATGAAAACGTATTAGCCGAAAAAATAACAGAAAACATATAGCCAATGCAAAGATGAGTTCGGTGAAAACTACTGAGTTCGAATTCAAACTAGCACAAGTGTTCCCAAAGCCTATAGGAAAGTTATCAAATGATTTTTTCCAACAGAACAAAAGGGAAAGAAAGCATGATAAGTTTTTGCTCTTTTCTTGGTTGATATTTTGACAACAGAGGAGTTAAACTTGAAAAATTAGAGACATCTTTTTACATCCTATTTTTCGAAAGACAAATGTATTCTTTTATATTTTAGGCAAGCGTGTTTTCAGTCCTTGAAATTATGCCAAAAATGCATGGTGACACAGCTCTCTTATTAAAACTTATATATATTTTTTTCATTCTTGTAATTTTCAAGCTCACTAAGACTATGCCTTCAGTTAACAAGTACGATCTTCCTGAATTGTCATTGCTATCACCTGTCACCTTTTATCAGTTACTAGTTAGAGCAGTACAATGTTAAAAGTCAAGACCAAGCCCATTACTGTAAAAGCTCGATGATTTACAAATAAAGACAATCGTTAATATGCATCATGAACCGCTGGTTGGTAGAAACTGTTGCAACGTACCATGACTTCATTCTAATTGGTAACATTTAAAACTTGTTTGGTATCTGATACCAAACAATTATTGGATGAGGTTTTTGTGATATCTGGAATAATCAAGGTCTCGGTATTGTTATTTTCAGCCGGTCGAAGCTGATAACACTTACCGAGACCTTGATTATTCTGGATATCACAACATGCACAAAAACCTAAACTAAATATTGTTTTATTGTTTGAGTATTCCCTGCTCTGTGTCTTCTAGGCAAAATAATTTAGTTTTTACAAAAGAAAAAAAACGCGTATTTAGGTATTTTAGCATTTCCAAAGATTGTCGAAACTGCCTAACTATTCATAAAGGAGTTAACTTACTCTAAACACTGGCTAGAATGTCCAATCATACGCGAAGAAACATTCACATACCGATGTACACACTCGACTTCATTGTCATATAGCTCGACTCTTTTCAAAAAAGCAACCTTCAGCTCTCGATATTGATGTTGAATCAGTATGAAAACGAACAGTCTGCGAGCAAGCTCTCCATGACGCTCTAGCGGCAGGGTAGTCTCCTTCGCAGCCGTTTTTTGGATGTCACGCAACTCTCCCCGTTATGGCATAGATTACCGTATTTATTCGAATAAGCACCCAACCTCGAATTAGCGCCCACCTCGAATAAGCGCCCATGCTAAAGGCCGAAAAAGTTAATAAGCGCCCAGCCTCGAATAAGCGCCCGCCCCTCCTCCTCCCAATCAAACTCAAATAAGCGCTCACCCCCACCCCACCCACTTGAGTGAATAAATTCTAATAAGAGACTTCCCCGAGGAAGGAGTTTTCTTCAGAGTATTTTACAGAAACCTTGCTTTGTTACTTCTTCGCGTTTTGTTATTAGCATTTATTGTTTTGTTGCAAAATAAACATACTTCACTTGCTTAAAATGGTGAAAATTAAATAAGCGCCCAGCCTCGAATAAGCGCCCACTCTCAAGGTCCAAAAATTTAATAAGCGCCCAGGGCGGTTAATCGAATAAATACGGTATGTTCTTTTTGGGGGAGTGTTGCGTGACATCCAAAAAGTGGCTGCGAGGGAGACTAGCGGCAAGGCGGGAAAAGGAAGCAGGAGCTCTAGAGCTTGCAACCACGTCTCTGGAATTTGAATATCTGCATTGAAAAAGTGATGACGTCATTACCCTTGGCACGTGTATTTCAATGTTTGCGCTGATTGGCGAATTCAAATTCCAGAGACGTAGATGCAAGCTCGATCTCCATCCCTTTCCCGACTCGACGACAGAACGCCCCGGAGAGCTTGCTCTCAGGCTAGGAAACGAACATCTTCTTAAGTTTACTTTAATATTGAATTTAGAGCCTTGTAGTAACATGTCCGTCCAAATGTCCCTCATTAATGGGCGTTAAATCAGTTCCATTCACTTCCGGTGCCTCTATCTCTATCTTAAAACTGCTCTCTTGGTCCTTGAATTCATGGATTTCAGCCTCTGTTGTTTGAATGTGATCGGTGTCGGAAGTGTATGTTTCCAGTCCTAAATTAACATAAGCACGTCCTGTCCGAGCTAAAATACCGTGCAAGATATTTGCCAACTCAGCGAAAGTGGGCCTTGCTTCTGTGTCAAGTTGCCAACAAGCTCTCATGACTTCATAGAGTTCATCAGAACATTGTGAAGGCTTTGTCATGCGATATCCAGACATCAGTTTTCCTGCAAGCAGTCGTGCTGGGATACCTGGGTAGGGGCATTCTCCTATCGTAATAATTTCCCATAACAGTATTCCAAACGACCACACGTCAGACTTAGAGGTATAACTGTAGAACCGTATGGACTCGGGAGCCATCCACTTCACGGGTAATCGACCGGATGTAGTAGTCTTGGTGTAAATTCCCTCAGTATGTACATCACGTGCAAGTCCGAAATCTGTGACTTTGGCTACTTTTTCTTCCGTTAGCAAAACATTTCTAGCAGCCAAGTCTCGGTGAAGCAAGTTCAAACTACTAAGATAATTCATCCCATTTGCCACATCTTCAGCAATTTTTAAAAGTTGTCGTTCATTCAGAGAAGACGACATGTTAATATAATGTGGGTTTTCACATCTGTTGCTTCTGAGATAGGCCAAAAGGTTCCCGCCGGAAACGAACTCCATCACTAAGTACAGCGGTCCCTCCTTAGAGCATGCTCCCAACAGACTAACAATGTTCGGATGGCTTCCCGCCTGTTTCATGATTGTCAGCTCAGTCATTAAGTCCTTGTAATCGTAGCGATCAGCATCTGGTTTCAAAGTTTTCACCGCTACTCTAGTTATGCCTTCATCTGCAACAAGCAAACAAGAGAGCAGAATAAAAACTTAGTGGGTAAGTTCTGAGGAATTCTTTTGAGGCGATGACTTACACAAGAAAGAATAATGGAACAGCGAGAGAATCTTAGGGCACAGAAATGGACATGACCGGATCTGTGAATTTCAGTAAACTGAGTTATTTTAGGAAAGTCTAACCCCTGAGACGTCCGCACATAACTGATTGTTATGCAGAACATTGTGATGGCGATTGTTGAATTCGTTTTTCACAATACTTAATAAAAGATTGCGGACCTCCCTCGAAACAAACTTCCGATGAACTTAAGGTGACTGATTGCATGACTAAAACAGTTTTTTTATGTCATTAGAGTATTTTTAAGTCAATAATAAGTATATGTATATAGTATATACTTGTATTCTGGGTAGAACGTATTTCGTAGAGCGCTCAATTCATTTAATTGAAGAGCATTGACTATTATTAATCACAGGCTGGAGTTCTGGCTTCAGGAGTAATCATCGATTGTTTATTGCGACAGTGCTGTTTCCTATGGTCCATACCTGTATCTAAAGTTCCTTCCATCACCACCCCAAAAGCTCCTTCCCCGATGGCTCTGATCAGGCGCAGTTTCTTTCGGGGGATTTCCCAATCATCTCCATAGACCGATGACTCCAGTTCTGAAAAGTTAATATTCAAATGTCTGGTGATTTGACTTCTAAACAATTCTTGTAATTGGAAATTGTACATTTTAAATATCTTATCATCCACTCACTAAGGGCAATTCCTCAGGGCTTTTCAGGGGTAACTTAGAATACCCTTTAGGGGTCTTAGTTTACTAGTAACGGAAGGGATGATGCCTCCTTACCATATGTGATTGTGAATTTGAGATGACCACCATGCATTCCGAAGACGACGTCCCCTACTCTTTATATCCATATTTAAAGCACTGAAACCGAGGGAATTTACACTGACCTGCTGAATGTGCTGTTCTGAAGCCCTTCAATTTCAGATTCAGAACCAAAACCGAATTGCAAATGGTAACGGAATCTGATACGTTTTCTTTACAATCTTGTGAAAGTCTTACCTTGTCTGAAAACAGTATTAGTAAAGCTCAGTTGGCGAATTTTATAGAGGTCAACATATCTCTTGGTAGACTGTTTCTTCTTTTTCTTTCTGCCAGTTGGAGGATATTCCCTTTCTTCCCGGGGAATCGCACGTCGTTTGGGAAAAATACAAAATATCAGCGTGCTAATGAGAACAACAAATATCACCATGGACACCGAGGTAGTTACTATGGCAACTACTGTTTTATGTTTCATGGAATCACATACAGTTCCGTTACCTTGGTAACCATTACGACAAACGCATTGATACGAGCCTTCCGTGTTTATACAGCCAGCGTTCTTATGGCATAGATTATGTTCTTGGTGGCACTCGTCAACATCTGTACAGTTAAGAAATCCGTTGCCGTGGTAACCGGGTTTGCACACACAATCAGGTGAATAACAGTTTGCATATGTCAGGTAAGCATTGTTTTCACAAACCTCAGACATGTTGGAGCAAAAGCATTTCCCTTGAGAAAAACTACACATTAGTTCGGAAGACGCATTGCTACTGGCGACGATGGATTGACAGGTTTCCAGGTGCCCTGCCCGACTATCAACTTTGCAATTGCATGTATTCCTACCAGCAGAACACTTCGAGGACTTTTGGCAATATTCACATGAACAATCCATGTCTGCGATGTTTACGGTCATGATAGATTTTCCGGTCAGCGACTTAGGATATTCACACTTAACAAGGGGCAAGTTGCGTATTTCACTGCTTCTTAATATGTCACCTTCAAACCATTGTTTTAACCATCGCAAGTCACACGTACAATCCATTGGGTTATCGTGAACAAACAGTCTCAGACGAGGCAGAAGTTTCTTTAGGTGATTCCCATGAAACACTCGTACTTTCGAAAAACTCAGATTTAGGATTTCTAACAAGTGCAGTCGTGCAAAAGCCTCCATGGGAATGAACTCAATGGGATTTACACTGAGATCAAGGTGTTCTACTCCTCTCGGAAAGGTTAAAGCTCTCGGAACTGTAGTCAAGTTGTTGTGGCTGATAACAAAAGCTTTCAAATTCGTCAAATTAAAGAATGATCTGTATTGAATGCGGTTAACTTGGTTGTAGCCAAGATTCAATTTCTGCAGAGATGCAAGTCTCCCAAAACTCTCCCCTGAGATTTTTGTAAGCTTGTTATTTGACAAGTCAAGTAATGACAAATGATTTAGCCCATGGAACGCTTCTTTTTCAATCATAAAAATTTCATTACCGTTCAAATAAAGCTCATTAAGCGATAATAAATACTGGAACGTTCTCTTTTTTAATCGAAAAATCTGATTTCGATAAAGATACAGCTTCATCAGGTTCCTCAGACCTTGAAATATTCCGGGCGAAAGATCAACCATGTAGTTACCTCCCACATTTAGTGATTCTAACATGAAGTTGTTTTCAAAAACTCCGAAGCTGATAAAAGAAAAGTTATTTTCTTCAATCGAAAGTTCTTTGAGATATGGAACACTTTTCATTTCGTCCATATTTATCTCTGAAATTTTGTTGTAACTCAGCACTAGTTCAGTAGTTGTGCTGGGCAAGTGTGTTGGGAAATCTGTCAGATTTCGTGCTGAGCAGTTGACGGTAGTTGAAGAGAAGAGTCTATTTCTGTCAAGATCGTCCAAGGACGAATTGCAATATTTTGTAACATAGCTGCATCCTGCTGTTTGAAATGATTTTCCCGTTTCATGAGCTGTAGACAAAGCTTGAAAAGTAATGTGGAAAGCAATTGCAGAAGTTATAATGTAGAAAACACATCTCAT